AAATTAAAGAAGCACAACATGAAGTTAAGGGTTGTTTATATTTAAAGACCACCACTTTTTTGCATTATACTTGCCTCTCTTCGCTTGCCTTGTATTACTTTGAAGTTAATAAAAACCGTATTCGATAAAATAATCAGCGTTTAACTTTCTAAGTCGGCAGCATTTCTAATGTAACGTAACCGTCCAAGATATCAAAACGTTTTTTGTCGCGGAATCCACCAGACTAAAGAATTGAAAAATCTGGTTTCTTCGACCATTTTCGGCCTTCTTTCACAATAAAATAAAGCAGTTTCTTCATTATCCATATGTTTTTGGTGGAGAACTATTTGTAACGTAAAACGCGAGACATACGGGCATGCTTATGCATATAAACTAGCACACAAATGCGAACAATTTTGCCCTGACAGACGTCAGCATTGCGGATTAACGAGCCGCAGGGTCGTGGGTTCGAGTCCCACGGCCAGTAGGATTTTCCTCTATTTCGTTTTTAGTATTTTTTTTTATAAGTTCTATATTTTTTAACATTGCTTTCAGTTAGTTGTTGTTGACTTTTTAATAAAATTCATCTGTAAACGTTTAAAATAGCTAATAGTAAAATATAAAATGTGATATAAAATAAAGTAATATTAAATATATAGAAAAAATAAAATAAATAACAAAAATCAAGAATTGTTTCGCAATCGCTCCAACCGAGGATCGACCCTGGCAGCTATAGGCTTGTAGCACGCAACTCTCACCACTCGGTTAGCGCGGACGCCAAACTCTCCTGCTTTGTTCGCTTATTTGTACAAAAGACAACAGCTCGCCGTTTTTACCAGTGTTTTCATCGAAATTTCCCCTGATCCGAGTTAGTTCCCAAGAAAATCGTGCATTTGTTCGGCTGCTTATGCATATTTTAAGGAGGAACATGCATGAGTTAAAGCAAATAAAGGCTGTTTATGCAAATAAGCGAGCCCGTTTGTCAACCGTATAAGAGTCTTCTTTACTAATTTAGTTTTCAGGTAAAATTATTTTTTATTTAGTTAGAGATAGGGCTCATTTTGATAGCAACATTGTAAGCTATTGAACTCATAGTTAACATTTAGTATATTCCTTTTAACCCAAATCCTTTTAACCCAAATCCTTTTCTTTTCTTCCTATTTGGCGCTGTAACCGCCTAAGCGATTTTGGACGAGTTTAATAAAGCGCGCCAGTCGTTTCTCTTCTGTGCAAACTGACGCCAATTGAAAATGCCAAGTGAAACCAAGTCCAAGTGAGTTAAAGCAAATAAAGGCTGTTTATGCAAATAAGCGAGCCCGTTTGTCAACCGTATAAGAGTCTTTTTTACTAATTTAATTTTCAGGTAAAATTATTTTTTATTTAGATAGAGATAGGGCTCATTTTGAAAGCAACATTATAAGCTATTGACTCATAGTTAAAATTTATATTCTTTTTAATTCAAATCCTTTTCTTCTTCTTATTTGGCGCTGTAACCGCCTAAGCGATTTTGGACGAGTTTAATAAAGCGCGCCAGTCGTTTCTCTTCTGTGCAAACTGACGCCAATCGGAAATTCCAAGTGAAACCAAGTCCTTCTCCACCCGGTCTTTCCATCGCAGTGGGGGCCTCCCTCTTCCTCTGCTACCACCAGCGGGTTCCGACTTGAATACTTTCAGAGCTGGAGTTTCGGTGCCCAATCGAACGACATGGCCAAGCCAGCCGGGCCGCTATATTGCTCAAATAGGCTCAGAAAATAAAAATTACGTAGAATAATAAAAAACGCGAGAATTATATTATTTCAAAAAGGAACGAGGCCAAAAGAAGCGAAACAAAAAGCTAAAAGAAGAAGATTTTCTGATTAGATAATAAAAATATATTGGATTTATTTCAAGTACTTTTCTAGTGCTATTATTATCCTTCAAAATGCACTCTCGAATGGTGCTATGAGATTTTTCCTTCAAGAGTTACGTCCACTTTAGCCGTCTTGTCCTCGAATCTAACATCGCCAAACCAAGCATATGCTTTCTAACTCAACACATTTTCCAATGGCCATAGTTTCTGAAGGAAAACTCGTAAAGCAACTATCTAAGGCGCATTTTGAATAGTTAGAATAGTACTAAATGTCATAGAACAAACAAAAGTGGCCATTAAAGCCTTTTTTCGTGTACTTAACCCCGGAAAACCTCAATATCTTGGCACAGTTGTAACCTCCAGTTCGAGTTCTAGCAAGAAAATTACTTCTGAAACGACTTACAGCTGCACAGCAACAGAAGTCTGTATTCATAATTATTATGTTCTTAATTTCTTTGTATTACATGTCAAATCGCAAGTCTGCTTAATTCATGCTACTTATTGCATAAACAGATTACAAGCTATTTTTTGCAAATATTGACCTCAAATTTAATTTTATCAGTTCAATAAATACGTAGCTCTTGAGTTCCATCCTTAAGCTAAGAAACCGTGTACCAATTTTGAAAACATTATATAAGGAGAGTAGACTTTTTCGATAATATAAAGCAGCTGTTGAAAGAAGAAAAACTATCCGAAAGTTGTATTCTAGCGAGTTTCAGCGGGTTTTGAAAAGCAACAGTAACAGTCAGCGTTTTGGGCCATATGAACATTTTCTTTAATTTATAGAGTCGAAAACAATCAGCACGATTCGTAATATGTTTATAATGAAGGCCTATAACGAAGGAGCAATTACATTTAAAAAAAAAAATAATAACAAGTTGTGGTTCTGATATTTCGGGCCCCTTTAAGAAGCCCGGGGCCGGGGGGATTCACCCCTTTCGCCCCTCCCTCTCGACGGGCCTGGCGGCGCTTGAAGTATTCGAGAAAAATATTTTGCGGAAGATTTACGGGCCTTTACGCGAATTAAAATCCAGCGGCTCCACTGGCTTTGTTATCTCGTTCGAATGGACACCGACGCTCCAGTTCTGCAAGTATTTGACTCGGAACCCGCTGGTGGTAGCAGAGGAAGAGGGAGGCTCCCAATGCGATGGAAATACCAAGTGAAGAAGGACTTAGCTTCACTTTGCTTTTCCAACTGGCGTGAGTTGGCATAGAAGAGAACTCGGCCAAAATCGCTTAGGCGGTTATATCGCCAAATAAGAGAATGAGCAAATTGTAAAAAAGGATTTATTTCGAAATGCGTAGATAAAAATCTTAAGGTGGTTGTTGTGGTAGCATTGCAATTTGCAAAAAAAATTTGAAGCTCTACCACAAATGTGCTATAGTCCGAACACTGGCTTTTAAACCCATATATGATAATGTTAATTTACCCACCTCTGATGTAAGTTCATGAATCATGGTACTTGCATGTACATCAGCGCGATTCATGAAACGTCCCAAAGTGGAATTTTTGACGAAATGACAACGTTGTGAACAAAATTTTATGAATGGCATAAGTCATCAGTCAAAGGTAAAAAGTTTTGTTATTAGTTTATGATGGTAGAATGATTTACAGGTGCATTCAATGAAAAGTAACCAACCATTTATCCACAAGAGGTGGAAGTGGCTTATGTCACATTCAAAATAAACGGCTTATTATTAAAATATTTCCACACACCGCATGTTTTCACGTGTACATAAAACCCGTACATAGATATGTATAACGTCGATATGTATATACTGTCGATGGGGCATCACCAGCGATGCGTTGTACCATCGGTTGTATCGGTATTGCCATCGATAGTTTGCCACCACTAAGCTAGAGTATAGTATTCAAGACTCTTACATTTTCTTAATTGAAACGGCCCTTACAATTGTAGACAATTTCACTAATAATTACAAGTGTATGAAATAATATTGTGTTGCAAGGAATTGGGATACTTGTAGTTAAAAGAGAATTCGGAATAACCTGTAGATTGTGCCCAATTGTAGACATTGTGTAACAGGCCCCAGAGCGATCGAAATACCCTGTTTATGTCCAGATTAATCCACCTACTGTTAACATAAACTCTAGACTTCTTAATAGAAACCTCTGCGAAAGTTGCTGGTGCTGCTTGCTTACGTTCCCGAAGTTTTGTAGCAGACCATATTCATGCTCACTCGTCTACTTCCTGAATTCCCGAAACATCATTATTTTCTAGGACTGAGTAAAAATTTAATTACAGGAATTGTTGACATTTCTTAACTCATATCTAGGGAAACGATATCGAACCGAAATTATCGATATGGTACTCATTTAAAGTATCGCTGTAAAAATATCGGGTACCCATTAATATCGGAATAAAGAGACTCGATATACCAAAATAAAAAATAAAAAAAATCTGAATGTTCGTGTCGTATGTATGCCGCTACGGGGTAGTGATTAGAAACCTCCGAGCGTATTTCTGCCATGAAAAACAGCTTCTCATAAAAAATACAATCGGCGTTCAGAATCGGCGTAAAACATTAGGGACGCCCTTTGTGGCACAACATGAAGGCGCACGCAACAAATCGAAGGAGAAGCTCAGCTAAACACTAACATATTGTGTAAGCGCCGATCTATTATTATTACTACATCGCGTAGGGATTGAGGTGTTTACTTAAAACACCGAGACAGCGTGTTCAAATCCCGCCATATGCAATCCTAACGATAGTAAAAAATTTCTGTTCTTTAAAGCCCAATTTATATCGGCAAGAATTGATAATCACATTATCTCTGTAATTTGAGTTTATGACATTCGATACGATGCTACGGTTCTGGTACTCGATTCCAAAAAATATCGTTTTAAAACTATCGAGTAAAAAATGTCGGTATCGAACGCCAAAAGTATCGATATGGTATCGTATCGTATCGAAATTCGTGTCCCTAATCATATCCAGCCAGTCGTTGCCAATTTGAATACCCGAATCGCATCCTGCGTACTGTCAACAAAGATATTTTAGACCCCGTTCACATGACAGGTGCTTAACGCGCGCTTACAGCTACATATATTTCCTTGCATTTTTCTTAAGGTATTCATATGCTAACGCGCCTTAAACGCAGGAAAATACTTGTAGTTCTTTGGAGCGCGTTATCAAACGCGTATTAAGCGCCCGTCATGTGAACGGGGTCTTAATCATGCTTACCATCTTTGTGTAGATGTATGTATATATGCCAATATCGCTTTTTAAAGTGCTTTTACTTTCAGCCTACACTTTTAAACATTTGCTTAACAAATTATGCCCATTAAACTATTTTTTATTAATGTTAAAAGTAAATTATGGATGTAACTAAAAATGGAAAGCTTTGTTCCAAAAAAAATGCTTTGTTGTAGATTTGCATTAAATATCACTGTCCTTTTGCGCTTACTCTGACAAACAGTTCTGAACCATAGTTATCATGACGTTTCAGATTTTGCAGCTACAGATGAACGAATATAAATACCATTACTTATTTACTAGTTTCGACATTGAAACATTCGATCTCGAGGACTTCAAATATAATTTTGTGAATATCACTTCGTTCCGTCTGGTTGATGTCGGTGATGTGAGCGTGCGCAACATACTCAAGGACATGGAAGCATTCAGAAGCGAACACAACAATGAAAAAACTTACTACCGAAAGCTGCGCACGATACAGGTGATGGTATATTTCCAAAAAGACAGCGTGATAATTTACAAAACTGTCTGCAATTCAATTTCCGCACAGACAGAACCAGCGCTAGCATACGATTCAGTTTATATATTTGCTATTGGCTTAAAAACCTTGGAACAGTCACATGCACTGCGCATTTCGAACGTTTCATGCGAGGACGAGACACCATGGGAAGGGGGTTTGAGTTTGATAAACTATATAAATTCGGTGGAGTGGCGGGGTCTAACCGGCCCGATACAGTTCAAAGAAGGCCGACGTGTTCAATTTAAGTTGGACCTAGTCAAACTGCGCCAACATTCCATAGTTAAAGTGGGCGAGTGGACCCCACAGACTCGTCTCAATATAACCGAGCCGTCGCTATTCTTCGATGCAGGCACAATGAATGTTACGCTAGTGGTTATAACAATATTGGTAAGTATAGGTACATAGATGGAAGTCCTCATTACGTCTAGCGCCTAGACAAACTACCTCTACCGTAACTTTTTTGACTACCTCAAGACCAGGCTGTCGATGACTACCTATAGTAATAAAAACTCACATGACAACTTCAAGCGCTGTATATATTAGAATGTCTCTGTTCTGTCCTGTAGCACCACAATATGAAATGTTGACCCGTTTAAACTAAGCTAAAACTAGCAAGATGACCCTAAGTATGATCTCTACGTTTTCTGGTTAAAATTACTTTTATTTAAGTAATACTTACTTGTAAAATTTATTAATTCCGCGACAGAAAGATTTATTGAACTTTTGATAAAATGTATGCACTTCTCGCGCGAGAAAATTCCGGCAAATATGTGACAGAAATGAATCAGCTGACATTTTAACGCATGTGTTACCACATTATCAGACCTGCGACCTCGTTAAGTTGGTAATGATATATTCGGTAATTTACAAAAACAAAACAATGGTGGGAGTTACCGAATACCGAATTAACGAGTATAGTCTGAATACCCTTAATACGATGTTTTTTTGTAGAAAAACTGTAAATGTAAATGTAATGTAACGAAAACACTATCAGCCGGTGCGAACAGCCTTCAGCCCATAATCCACATAGTACTAAAGTAGATAAACTGTGTGCGTTAAAGGCATAATATAAGTTCAGGCGTGCGTATGGAATGTTTTCATATACCTCCATTTTCAAAGAAACAATTAGGGAGCCAGAAAATTCAGCTCGGCTCCCTTTTTCTATCTTCCTGGAGCAGATAAATTATTGTGAGTAACCGAATTCATTTAGTGCTTTCTATATGAGGGTTTGTCTCCATTCTTTTGTGAATTCGTTTATGATTTATTTTGGAACAAATTTCCGTCATTTCTTGTCAAGTTTGGTTTGGAGAAAACCCGGTTTAGTCGTTGCGCCATCTTCAGTCCACAAACCAAACTCGAAAAGGAATGATGGAAAATCGTTCTAATATAAGTTATCTTACCACCCAGTCGGAAAAATCAACCAACACTAACACACATGATTATATTCCAGTTTTTTTTAATTATAGATAATTTTGTAATTTAATTCATTCACCTAAACTTCTAAAGATGTGCTAGGAACCTATAAACCGATTGCATTTAATTTATTTTGTTTTGGAATTTCTCTTATTAAAAGCTTTTAACAAATTTATGTTAAAGCTGAACTACTAATTCCATTCAAATATTATTCATATTTTTTTACTTTTGGAGCATATTTTAAATTGTTTGACATATTTTTAATTATAATGCGATAGTTACACTTTTCGTAATCTATTTTTGTGCAGTGTTGTTTTCCTACCACGTTTATATCAACTCGCTTTCTTGTTTATTTAAATAGTTTTTAGTATTACGGTGATATTTTTCCAACATGTGAATCTCACTACACTTTTGCATTCGGTGTTGCGACCTCTCTAGACTTTTCCTATAAAAGCAGAATTTTTCGAACTGAACCCCCTCAAAACGGCCTGTTTAACATCATTTATTGAGTTCTACCTTACACCTTTATTGTCCTGTCTTAATTTAGGGAATCCGATGGGGACTACAGAGTGGATGAGATAAGATTTCACGGCGAAATTCCCGTAAAAGATGTCTAGATTGTTTCGAGGAATGGGCTGACGCGTTATCGTGATGGAAGATCACACCCTCATGCAACTTTCCAGGCCGTGTTTTATGATTGCAGCTTTCAATAGTTATGTGCTGAATTTTCGGTACCCAATACTTGAAAAAAATTTCTGTACCCAATACTTTCTTTTCGGTACCCGATACCGATTCCATAAATTAAATCTTTGTCATAATATATACACTTGTAGTCAGCTGATTAAGTTTAGTGACATTTTGACCAGTTTTGGTTATTTATATTTTGTTCATTTAATGTTTATAATTTTGTTTATAAAAGTCTAGCACATTACATAACCAGCACCACATCAATTCACATTTAAAACTTCTTACAAAAATTATAAAAATTCAACAAACTTTAACAATCACACCTAAAAAAAATTATTAAAAATCAACGCGGTTTCCTAGCTTATTGAAATTTGCACTTTAACCTACTTAAATTTAATGGGCTATAAAACTGCATAAAAGGTTAAAAATTTTTGGGAGTATTTGTTAAAGTTTGTTTAATTCTTATAAATTTTGTACGAAATGAAGGAAGACAATACCACTAATAATTGTACCATGAGCTTACTCGTGCGAGCAGTGCACTCAACACACGTATTCTTACGCTCTTTAAATAAGTCGTTGTTCTGACCACAGTATCTACAGCAATAAACCTTTTTGAGTACTCCTCGGGGGTAAAATCTGATCAGGGTTGATAATGAGAAGGAGCAAGAATTTTGTTGATTCAGAGTTGTATACAAAATTACTGTGGTATGAAAGGGAGCAACAACCGTACCATGACAGAGTGGCACAAGTCATGACTGTGTCGGTGACCGAAATTAATTTCAAAAGTGTAAAAAGAATTGCAAATTATTGTTTATTATTATAGATACTAATAAAAGTTATCAAAGTCCAGTTTATAACTTGTTTAACTATACTACTAACTATATTACACCGTAACTGATAACGAACTGGTAAATGCAGAAAACGCTAGTAATTCAGTCAAATAAGGCAAATCTCGAAATGAAAGATAATAAGCTAAACATTTTCACAAGTCTTTATTTTGGTCTTATAAAACTTACCTCAAAAGTCTCATATGACCATGTGTCCGCGTCTTAAGATTTTTAAGGTCAAAGGTCACGAAAATCAGTTTTTTGCAAATATCTCGTTTCAGGTCATTAGAAAAATTGCAGACCGAAAAATTCTCTTCAACTTTTGTTTCAAGTAATTTTATGTACATTCAACCCTTCTTGAGATAGAGCGCAAAGAGTGGGGGACCGCCTACCTGTATATACGATACCGCGAGATCAGCTAGTGGAATACAACAAATAAACGAGTTATATAGTTAACTAGCAGACCCCGCGAACTTCGTCCCGCCCAAAATTTATTTTTTTATTGAAACATTTGGTACAACGTTTTCGCCAGCAATTCACGTTCACGTTTGGTTTTGTGGTCGACAGAAGGCATATACTACATTGCCGTCTTAAATAACCTGACGAAAGCGTTATACTGGGAAGAAGTCCTTGCGGCTCGATGGTGAATCGTCGAGATCACCTCTTATAAAAAGAAGGAGCTTCATTTATATAATTAGTGTCGGTAACACAGGGCAACACCGATTTTGATGCGGCAAATGTTAAAGCTGTTTTTGATAGACTTTTTTGTCCTGATTACGAATCCGTAAGTATAAAGTTTTCATCGGCTCCAGATTTTGAGAAAAACGTGGTAAAAGTGTCAAAAAAGTCGCGTTTTTGCAATATTTGAGAAACTCTATCAGGGACACAAAAGGTGATAGAACCTTCCACTTAGGCTTAAATTAAAGCTAGAGCTACATACTACTCACCGTTTGCTGTGAACATTTTCCGACGGATTTTCTCTTTTTTTTCGGAAAATGTTCAGTGAGGTCCCCCGAAGCAACTTGAGGATTGAAATTGTTTCCAGGGTACCGTGCGCTATGCCTGAAAATACTATTCCTGCACCTTTCCCTGATGGTCACCCATACTCATTTACTTTTTATCGCACAACAATAAAAAAAAATACTGGAGAACTATGCAACTGAAAAAAGGTGTAAAAATCAGTGTTAGCTGTTTAATAAATGACTATAGGTGACCTTAGGGTCAAGGTGCAGGAATGGTATTTTCAGGGATTGAAGTCAGAAGTCCCAGCCTTAATTTTAGCCTAAGTGGAAGATTCTAACACCTTTTTCTTAATTGCGGTAGGTACTCAAAATTCCCAAAATCATTTTTTCCTGTTCAAAAAATGACTATAAGTGACTATCAAGTAAAGGTGCAGGAATTTGCAGGGATAGTAGTCAAGATTTTTTGCTTTAATCTAAGCCTAAGTGAGAGGTCCTACCACCCTTTGTTTCTTTGCTAGTGCTTCTCAAATATTGCAAAAAACGCGATTTTTTGACACTTTGACCTCGTTTTTCTTAAAATCTGGAGCTGATGGAAACTTTATACTTACGTCAAAAAAGCGTTAAAATTTGCTGCATCAATTGTTTCCCCATTTTTGTTGGCCTGTGTAATAAGTATTGTTAAATAGCCGATACCCGCATGTTTTCGTCGCCTTCAAACACCTTTCGAACTGTAAAACAATGACTCAATTCTATATAATAATATAATAGATCTATAATACGGGTATCGAATTTCAAGCAAATCGGACCATAAATAAGATTTTTCGGAATATATCGGTCCCTGGTCCACCTATCAGAAAAAAATATCCTATGTGTTAAGCCAGACAAAAAGCTACCTACGTGACAAATTTCAAGCAAATCGGACCATAAATAAGACTTTTTCGAATAGATCGGTCCCTGGCCCACGTAACGGAAAAAATGGATCCTATATGCTAATCTAGGCAAAAGGCTACCTAGGTACCAAATGGAGAAAATTGTTCCCAATTGATTCATGCTCACAATGAATTTCACAATTATCCGCAATTTTCCAAGCTTCACAACGAATTTTCCACCTTTACATCGTCCAACATCATCAAATCTTGCGATTAAATGCAAAATTTTGTCAAAAAAAATTCAAATTGTTCTTCCGGATTTTTCAGAGTTTTCCACTTAGAATTTTCTATTTTTCTATTCGAAAGCCATTCCGAAGGAATTGCACAAAAAATTCCATAAAAAAATTTAATTTTCGACTTTTCCAATTTCCCGACTTTTCCGGAAGGTTTTCCCAAAATTTTCTTCCGTAAAAACCGTCTCCTGGTAATAACGAACAACTAAAAAAAAATTTAGCCAAATCGGTCCAACCGTTCTCAATTGATGAATGACTATACATTTTTCACACCATTTTTATATAAGTATATAGATTATTCACTTAAAATACTATTATTATTATTAAATTTGTATT